CTGCCTTTGACACATGGGCAATGAAATTTCCCCACCTCCACCTTGGGTGCCCTGGGAATGAACCTGAGAGCCAGGAGCATGTGCTGAGCAGTGGGGGGTCAGCAGACAGGGTGAGCTGCCTGACTGTCTCTGCGGGTAGCTGGAGTACCTTGGTTGGCCTGCCCTCTCCCAGGCCTGGGCAGGTCTGCCTCCTTCAGCTTGCCCAAAAGGTGAGGACGGTGCCCACGCTTAGCTCACTGCCAGGGGCTCACTATAGGTTTCCATCGTGCCAATGATCTAAGGCTCTTGCTTGGTGCTGGGGCTTTCTGCTGCTCCCCCTCCTCCCAGACCCCTGCAGCCCCTGAAGATGACTCCAAGGCCAGAATGCCACCAGAAAGCTCATTGTCAGGACCTAGCAAGTCATTAAAACCCTTTCCTTTTCATTCCTGAGCCAACATTCCACACGAAATCGATTCGGCTTTCTTTGTCACAGTCTTACGGCCCCGGCTGGGATGAATCAAGATTTCCATTGGCTGGGGGAGGTAGAAAGGCAAGCTAGGCCCATGGTGATGTGGGGTCTCAATCCAAGCACTGAGTGACTCATTGGTAAAGTCTGGTGGCTGAGGGAGGGAGGGCACTAGGCACCGATAACATCTGCCTTCACTATCTGCCAGGCTGGCGTCCCAGAGAACTCAGAACAATGGGGGAAAAACAGAATCAAGCAACAACAGGGGATTTAGGAGGCACTAGCAAGTTTCTGATATGAGGGAAAGGACAGAAAAGCATGCGGGAAGAGAGCTTTCTGCTCAAAGGATCAAGACAGCAAGTATACTGTTAAGTAAATACAAAGCGTACACAGACTGATGCAACATCATTTCAAAAGGGGCCATGTACCTTACAAGTGCAGGGTAGGAAGAGAGGCTTGGTGCAGGAGGTGGTCGCTGAGCTGTTCTTTGGAGGATGCTGGGTATTCTAAGTTGTGGAAACGAGGAGAGAGTGCATTCCAAGCACAGAGGACCACCCTTTGGGGGGGACTGTCCAAAAATAAAATCTCCCACCTCTTGGCCTTTGCACATGTGGTCCTTGGTGGGACCACCTCCTGCACAAAGGCCCACTGCCCAGCTGTAAGGTACACGGCTCCTCTTGAAGTGATGTTGCATCAATCTGTGTACACTTTGTTTTTACTTAACAGTATACATGCTGTCTGGATCCTTTGAGGACAATTCACATTTTACTCCTTTAAGGCCAAGACTGTCGTTTCCCCCCCTTTTTTTTTTTTGCCTCTATAGCCACAGCGCCCAAGGATTCCAATCTGTCTTTGCAGCAGGGAGTCAGCCCTTGAGAACCTCAGGCAGGTGTAGGTACTCTGTGAACATCTGCTTTTCTCCCAATTTTAGGGGCTTCTCTTCCCCTGCCCAGTCATTCTGGGCATGCAGGATTTGGAGCAGGAAGATACAGGTTCAAATCCTCCATCAGATACTTACTGGCTATGTGACCAAGGGCAAATCACTAACCCCAAGCCTCCTTTTCTTCTCCGTAAACTGGGCCAATACCACCCACGGTACCTACATGCTCTATACAATCTCTTTTGAGCTTAAAAACAACCTTGCATTAACATAAACGAGGCAATGGGACATTGGGGACTGAAAGTTGGTCTCCGAGTCAGGAAGACCTGGGTTCATATCTTGTTTACATCCCACACTGGCTGTGAGGCTCTGGGAAAGTCACTTAACTGCTCTCTGGCCATCCCCTCTTTCAATGAAATCATAGGTCTAGTCCACCCCTACCCTCTGAATCCTAATCCTCAGCAGTCAGCATTGCTGCCGTGCACACAGTTGGTACATAATAAATGTTTGTTGACTTAAACTGAATTTCTCATCTCAGTACGGGTACAGAGGGATTCATGCCTCAGTCATCAGGGTAGGGGTTGGACTGAGGAGTCTCCAAGGGACATTTCAGATGAGGTAACTGTGGCCTGGACATGTGGAGTGACTGACCTGTTCCAGGTCACCTAGGATGTTAACTGGCAGATCCACAATTCAAACCCAGGTCCATTAACTCCAAGTCCAATGACCTTTCCATTATAACCCACTGCCCCTCTCCCCCGCCGCAGGACAAAAAGACTTTGCTTCCCACTCTTTAGGGATGCCACATGCTCTTCTCTCTCAAGTGCAGTGTGCTTTTTGCTCAGAGGATAGTGGCAAGATGTTACAGAAGGACAATGGGCAGTCTTCCTCTTCAAAGTCTCTGATGTCCTGTCCTCACCTTGCATCTCCACCACCACTAGCTGACCCGTTTCTCCTCCTACGTCCCTTGCCTTCACAGCCTGCACTATACTGGACAGCCCAACGCAACTTTTCTCTAGGAAGTGGCTGCAAGCATTGGCACATGGCAGACTGACTGTACTGGGTAATGATGGTTGGCAGGGCCTCATGGTGGATATGGAGGTGACTCTCGCTTCTAGAAGGCTTTCCCCACAAAGCATGAGCTTAGACAGATCCTTCCTTCCAGGCTGGCCAGACTGAGTGAGGGCCTAGGGACTGACTGTGATTTATTTGGGATGATCAATTTTTCTATTAATTCCACCCCTGAAGACCATTTACAAGGCTATAGAGGGGTTGGGATCGGGATCAATGGCAGGGATCCCGGCATGGACAAGGCTTCAGATCTTTGAGGAGGCAAAGCATGGTTCCATTTAGAGGGCTTCCTGATATTCCCCTCCATGCTAGGGATGCCCACACCTAACAATGAAGTCCATTGCCTTCATAGATTTGCAAGGGTGGGGAAGAACCTTGCATTTTACACATGAGGAAACGGAGAGCAAGGTTGTGAAGTTACTTGTTCAGGGTCAACACAAGTACTGAGGAGCAGAGGTTCTCCAGGTCCAAGGCCAATGTTCTTTCCACTTATACCATGTTGCTGCTTATGTTCATGGGGTCATACAAGAATCAGAAGAGCCTTCAGAGGTCACCAATTCCAACCCACTAACCTCAGAGAGTCGGTCGCTTACCCAGGCTAACTCCAAGTCCAGTGCCATCTCACCTACTTAAAGGTCTGAACAAAGGTCAGAGCAGAGTGGAGGCAGCTGGGCTCCCTTAGACAAGAGAAATTGGGCTTTGCTTGCTGTTGAGCTCTCCAAGCCCAAGCCTTTGTCTCTGAGCTCCTTGGAGGCTGTGGATGGCAAACAGTCTCAAAGAAATGCTCACGAAGGAGTTTTTCTCCAGGCTTTGGCAACAATTCCATTTCTGCGCTCAATTTATTGAAAGGCACTTCTCTCCAAACCCAGCCGGAAGTGCTTAGATGGGACTTTTCTCAGCTGGTGTTGAGGGCCACCAAGAGAAGAAGCAGGAAGGGGCCATTGATCTCTAGCCCACACCTCTGCTCCAGGGACAGTCCCTTACACAAATATTTGCCAACGAGTGCATTTGAGCCTGTCAATGGCTGTCAATAAAAGGACAGCACTCCTTCTGAGCGCCAGCATCTGTAGTGAGACCTGAGCTTCTGACCGTCAAGTCATCTATTAAATTTTAACTCTGTTTCTTTTGTTCTAGATCTCTCAGGGATCAGTGCTCTTCTGCAGAGCAGATGTGACCCACCCTCCAACGTCATACCCGTGTCATAGGGCTCCAAAAGCCCAGGCTTCCCAGCACTGCTTAGCATCCACTCAAAAGGAGTGGGGAATCACAACCATAATAGCTTCTATATAGTAACACAATTCTTTCTTCACAGCCACCCTGCTGAGATAGATAACGCACATACCGTCACCCCCATTTTAAAGAAGAGGAAACTGAGGCTGACAGAAGTCCCAAAGTCAAAGTCATGAGGCCGGTGAGTGCTTGAGATAGGATTCAAATACATGTCTCCTGACTTCAAGTCCAGTGATCTGTCTTTGATACAGCACTTGAGAACTCAAAAGATTCATGATTTCATCGTTATGGGACAATCTCTACTTCACCCCTCCCTGCCCCACCCCTTTCTGGCCCCAATGTAGATATGACCCAGGTAAACAGCATTAGACACAGAGAGCAGAGAGACCCCTCTGTGCTGTCTATGTATGTGTGTGTGAATAAAATTTTCTTGAGGGAAGGGACTGTTTCACTTGCTGTCATTGTCATTGCTGTCACTGTCTTCTTTTTCATCATCATCATCATCACCATCATCACCACATCTAAGCTAACATTTACATAGCACCTACTATGTGCCAACAACATTTAAGATAACATTTATATAGCACCTACTATGTGCTAACAATATCTAAGCTAACATTTCTACAGCACCTATTATGTGCCAGGCACTGTGCTAAACATTTTTACAATTGTTATCTCATTTGATCCTCACAATAACCCTGGGAGGTAAGTGCTATTATTGCCCCCCTTTTATGGAGGAAGAAACTGAGGCAGAAAGAGGTTAAGAGACTTGTCCAGGGTCACATAGTTAGTAAGTGTCACAGGCAGGATTTGAACTCAAATCTTCCTGACTCCAGATCCTGCGCTCTATCCTCATAGAGGACTGCCTCATAAAGACCTCTTCTGTCCATAGGGTGCTTTGTTGTCTACAAAGTAGACTGCTTTGTAGCCATAGTGCCATCTGGACCCCGCTAAAATCACGTGAGAGAGGCCGGGTCAGTACTGTGACCCCCATTTCACAGAGATAGGGAGTGATTTATCCAAGTCAGAAGGCTAGTAAGGGGCAGAATCAGATCTAGGAAATCTAGTGCTCCTCCAGTATAGCCCAGTCTGTGGTCTTGGCAGCACCAAGGCCAGCTCTCACACTCACCCAGGTCAGCACCAAGGCCAGCTCTCACACTCACACAGTCCATCCAGACTGTGGGTGAGGACCTCCAGGGAAGAAGTTCAGGGCCTCCTGAGGTAGTCTTCTCCACCTCTGGGTGGCTCTCAGTGTTAGAGAGTTTTTCCCCTCTTGATCCAGCTCAGCCTTGCTGAAGGGTATGAGCAGAAGATGGGCCACATCCCAGCAGGAGAAGGTAAGTCACCAGCACAGGGGGGCCACCAGCGGCTTACCATGAAAATGCTGAGCTGTCTTCCGTCTCAAGGCTTGGACTGTCTCTTCTGTGTCTGCCCACTCTAGGACCAGTCTTCTCCCATATAAATGGGTGCTGTGGCACAGGGCATTGAAAGCTCTCTGTAGCAGGGAACAGGAGAAAACTCTGTTAGGCCAAAACCATCATCTGTCCACTTACTCTCCTCTCCTTCCCACCCTGCTTCAACCTCCATTCAATGCCTTTGAAAGCTCTGCAAAGTGCCTGCCATGAGTTCCTGCTCTCATGACATCGGATCTCCAAGGAGGATTTGGGGAACGGTTGGGCATATCTATTTAATTAGCTGCTTATGTTCCTACAGAGAGAACTGCAAGTGACTGATTGACCAGTCAATATATCCACAGTCCAGGCCTGTAATTGGTGCCTGCTTGAAAGCAATCACCTTATTTTCCATGTTAAAATCCCAGCCACGGAGGGTGACCCCATTAGCTCAGCTCTTCTTCTGCTGGGGAAGGGTACCTCGGCTGCACTGGGCAACTGGAGACTGCTGGCTGCAGGAGAGAGCGTGACCTGTGCTTAAATGTTCCCCTCTAACATGGACATCGCCATTTTTAGAAAGCATTTTCCTTCTGAGGGGTTTAAAGTACATCTTATCTTAAAAATTCCATGGGACATTTGAGAGTGAACTGGGGCTACTGCCTCCCATTTTTCATATGGGAAACTGAGGCAGAATTGTCCCCTGACTTCCCTTAGGATCACAGAACTAGCGATGGAAGGGACTTATTATTCTAACCAAGTCATTCTGATATGGTCAATTATGCTGATAGTTTTTCTTTTTCTTTTCTTTCTTTTTTTTTTGGCTAGATAATGGGGTTAAGTGACTTGCCCAGGGTCACACAGCTAATGAGTGTTATGTGTCTGAGGCCACATTTGAACTCAGGTCCTCCTGAATCCAGGGCCAGTGCTCTATCCACTGCGCCACCTAGCTGCCCCTAACCAAGTCATTCTGTAGAAGAAACCAAGGACTAGGAAGATCAAGCAGGCCAAGGTCACACAAGAAAGCAAGAGTCAGAGGCAGCATTGCAATGGAAAGCCTACGTTCTTTAGTCACTCCAATTACAGGTGGCCAAATGCCCAAGTCTCATCTTTGTCAGGCACTCAGCTTTAGCGACACAGATAGAACTAAAGAGAAAGGCCAGGGCACTTAAATCCTGTTGGAGGTACAAAACATGCAGGGAATTATGTATTACATACATAATGATTCGAGGAAGAGACAGGGCTGGGTTCCTGAATACCCAGGAGTTTTTGTCATAAAGAATTTTCTCAATAAACAGATACTAATAACACAATTATTATCATGTAAGAAGTCCATTAATTTTTTTTTTTGGATGTTAAAAAGGGTTTCTTATAGTCCTCAAAAAGCTTGACAATCACAGCCTTACTTAGGTGATCTAAGTTGAGTAATGGCCATGAAAGATTTAGGTAGAGGGTTCACAGGGCTCACTTCAAAGAGGGGAATTGAGAAAGAACTCAGGGTGTGAATAAGAATAGAGATACCCAACAAGCAGGAAGGAAGAGAGGTGGGCTAGTTTAAGGCATGAGCACCTGCGATCAGGGGACAGTACTCACTCACTGACCCTCTAACTGGTCCAGGTAGCCACTAGTTAGTAGGGAAACTGAGGCATGGAGGAGAGAAGACACATCCTAGGTTATAAAGTGAGGAAGAAGCAGAAATAGGCCATAAGATCACAGATAAAGGACCTCAGAGGTCACTTAATCTAACCTTATTTTAAAGATGAGCAAAGTGAGTCTGATAGAGGGGAAATGACTTGCCGAAGGTCCCATAGCTGGTAAATAACTGCAGGAATTTGAACAGAGGTCCCCTCATTCCACACCTAGAGATCTTTTCATTAGTCTGTTGATTTCTGTCAGTGAACAGGGCATTATGGCCCGGCAACCAATGGCTAGTATGAGTGGTGGTAGTGGTAATGGTCATTTCAATAGTGTTTGAAGGTTTACAAAGCAACCCTGTATAAAGTGAGCAGTACAACTACTACCAAACCATTTTTATAAATGAGGGAACTGAGGCTAAGGGAAGGTAAAACATTTAGACAGACATTAGTGGAGGCAGTACTATAAGAGTATACTATAGACAACCAGGATGGAAAGAGGAAATAAATGAGGAGTCAAGGAAACAGATTATAAATCAGGTACAAAGGCATGATGCATTAGTGATGGGGGGGAGGGGGGGTTTCAATTAACCTAACATAGACTGGAGATTCTCTTTCTTTCCAAAGCAGAAAAAGTAATACTTTCCTGGTTGCTTTAATGATAATTTCATCCTTTAAAAAGTATAGGATAAAAAAAAAAAAAAAAAGATATGTGTGTGTGGGGGGGGGAGGCGGGGGACTGGATTCTGTATTTGATTCTCTCCAAAAGGGAAGAACTGATTCCTGGGATAGAAAGGAAAGGAATTTTGAAGGGAAGTTACTACTTCATTTTAAGAGCTTGGAATAAAAGAGGAAAGCACAGACTAGCCTAACATGCTCCCTAGATTTAGAGAGAAAAGATTTGAAAGATTATGTAGAGTTCCCATGGATTAAAATTCTATGGGAAATCAATCCAAGAGGGAGAAGAAACTTCCGTGGATGAAACAACAAAGAATGAGAAACAGATAAAATGAGAAGGGGTGGGTAGGGTCGGGGGAGAAGGGATTTTTCTGCAGAGAATGATGTGGACGCACAGGGAACTCACCAACCAACCCAGATTGAAGGAAAGCCAGGCAACAGAAGATTAAAAAGTATGCTATGAGTTTGTATGTAAAAACAGTGTCAGAAATGGTGAATCACAGAATGAGCAGAGGTTGCGAAGGAAACATGTATCACAACAGACGTTTTTGCTTGTTTTTAGAGCTATTAATAGGTGAAAAAGAAGGATCCCAGAAGTGATATGGCCACTGCTTAGGGTTAGTGAGAAGATATAACTGGTAACAGACAAGGCAGAGCTGATTAATTTTTATTTGCTTAGGCCATCTGTGAGAAGGAGAAGGACCTTTGGGCTAGAAAGAATAGATTAAAAATGGTCAATAGGGATCTGGTAACCCACAGCTCAGAAAGAAGATAGCAAGAGGCTACTTAGGTACCTCGGATGTATTCAAGTCACCCAGATAAACTGCATACTCCAATATTGGGGGGTGGGGGGAAACTACTGGCAGATATAATTACTGAACCACTTTTGGTGATATTTTTAAAATCATGGAGAACAGAAGAGGCACTGCAGGGCTGGCAAATGAGGACAAATACTGTCCTAGTTTTCTAAAAAGGGAAGAGAATGAAGTCCACAAATTAGAAGTCCAGTGAACCTGACTTTGATTTTTGGTACAACTTATTACTAAAGGGAGAGTTAGCATCTACTGTGTGCCAGGCACTGTGCTAAGCCCTTTACACATATTATCTCATTTGATCCTCACAATAAGCTTGTGAGGCAGGTACTGTTATAGTCACCATTTTACAGTTGAGGAAACAGAGGTGAAATGACCTGCCCAGGGTCACACCGCTAGTAAATGTCTAAGGCCAGATTTAACTTGGGTCTTCCTGACTCCAGGCTCTATCCACTAGGCTACCCAGTAGGAGCATAATAAATGCATGTTGACTGACTGATAAAGTGACTTGTCCTGAGTCACATAGCCGATCAGTGTGGGATGTAAGACTGGAGCCCAGGTCTCTCTCTTTCTGACCCAGCATTCAGGGCTCTTTCCACTATCGCATAGGGCTTCTTGGTGGAAGCCTGGGAGGCAAGAGGGAGAAGGCGATGGCAGGCCTGTTTCTTTTAAAAAATAGTCAGATAGCTGTGTTAAAGCAACACTTTCTTCCTTGTGCATTTCTAGAAGGGACAGGTGCAGCAAACTTTTTTTTTTTTAATTTTAAAAACTCTTCTGGCTGCCAGCAGAGCCTCCACATTTTTTCCAGGCGGATATAAAAATGCATCTGGACTTGAAACCGAAATGGCCCATTCAGAGCTTTAAAACACACTCGCTCTCAGCTGTCACGGCGGCGGGAGAACGGCTTGATCGAGGGAGCCTGGGTTTCAAGATGGGGAAGAGAAACTGATCAGTAGCTTGGCGTCGCCGGCTCCCTATCCTCCTGGGGACCCCCAAGGAGCTTCAGTCCCCAGTGTGTGATGGGGATGGCAAAGCCAAGAGGCGGCCTATCCTCAAGGACACCAAGTCATTTCTCGTGGAGTGGGCACAAGGGCTCTCAGGGAGTCCTGCCTCAATCCAGGAGCTCCCTGCCTTGACCCCCGGCTCTGACTCAGGGCCACGTGGAACACATCACGCCCTATGCATTCCAGCCTCGTTTCAGGAGCCTCCTCCCTCCCCCCACTCAATCCCCCTATTTTGATGTGGCTTATATTTGTTAGGGACTGGGCTTTTTCTGTTGGCCTGCCACGGATGAGTGGTGAGAAGAAAATTTAGCCTTGATGCTGAGAAAACCTTCCTAACGAGGAGAGAGAGCGGTTACAAGTAGAGCAGCCTTTAGACTGAAAAGGACCTCAGAGCTTCCCTCATTCAAGCCTCTAATCTGATTTACAGTGGAGGGCATTGAGGCCCAGGCAGGTGAAGAGACTTGTCCAAGGGAGTCGGAGGCAGCACCAGGACTGAACCATGGTCTGACATTCCAACTGAGCACTAGGCTTGAGCCTTTTGAGAAAGGGGCTGTTTGTCAAAACCCGTCTTTGCATCTCCAGGGCAGGACTTAGCACCACGCCTTAGACATAACAGATGCTTAAGAGGCCAGCTGACTGACTGATGGACCCCAAGGTTTGGAAACAGGAAGGGTTAGGGGCTCCAAACTTGGAGGGCACTAGACATAAGCACCCTGTTTCAAGGAGTTCAAGGTGTGCAGGTGTACTAGAGGAAAGAACACTCAGGAAAGACTGGGGTTCAAATCTTAGTTGATGCTAAACAGCCATGTGACTGGTTGAGTCCCTTCACCTGATCCATAAAACCAGAGATAATAACAATTCGCCTTTCTACGGCCCTCTAAGGGCTCCTATGTGAGGCCTTTTCTGATCCCCTCAATTATTATGACTCTCCGCCTCCCCACTCCAACACTCCGTGGTATATATTTTGTATTTTCTCATC